CTCATATATCAACAGACCCATTTGTAAGAGTACAAGGTATGGATCCATCCAGCCAGAGCTTAGAGACTTCCATGCCAGTGGCATGTATATATCAAATCCAGACCCAGTCATCATTCTGGAATTCATACTCTGACTGTTTTGCCATGACATCTCTTGTGTTGTATAGCAGCTTTTCCCAACTGCTGAAGTACAAAATTTGCAGCCACTCCACATATTGTTGTGTACATTGTGGCATACTTGTGATTGGGATGGACCAAATGGCAAGTGTTCATCCCAGTCAGTTCAAACTTTGCAAGCATTCACTTAATCTGAATCACTTAATTCACTTAATCTGAATAATCTGTTCTGCCAAACTTTCGGACTAAGATGATAAGATGAAGTGCATTCCTTCATTGCACTCAATACCCTGTACAACTCATGGAGTAGCTGGCTGGTGGAATTAGTTCTCTGGTTGGTGTGCCGAATTTGGATACTTATTGTTACACCAATACATCAGCCATGAATTGTACTAAAATATCAGTCAATGGCTAAACTTTGGTCCATTTTGTCAAGTAATCGATAATGACCCTATACAGATAATCTCGTCGAGTTTTCAAGAAAGGCTCCAACAATACCCAAGGCTACTCTCTGAAGAAGAAAACCACCAATTTTTTGTTGCTGTAGTTTACCTTGTCTGGGCTAATTTTTCTTCTTTGTGGCACACTTACGATACAGTGCTGATACCAGCATATAACTTATTAACTTCAATTCAGCCAGTATGCAAGTAGTTGTTTTTTCACTGTACAGTATCTCAATTCAGGAAGTATTGAGGGTAAGACTTCCATATACTATTACACATTCTTCTCTATTCTGCAACTGCAAGAGCATTACTCTGCTTCCACTATCACTAACAATGGTACCCAACAAGAACTCATAGTCCTGTGATGGGTTGAACAGCACAGGAGCTTCCATTAAACCATACTTCAGGGCCATGAATGCTTGCTCACATTCCTCAGTTAATCTGAAATGCATATTGACTTTAGTGAAAGCACAGTGATGTAATTGTGGAGAAACTGGTCGCAAAGTTTCTGTAATAAGAAGCAAAACTAGAAGACTTTGTACTTCTCGCAGGTTATGGGTTAAGCAGGGACTGTTGAGACTTTGTCTCCCCATAATGTGACCAAGAAATTCTACTTCCATGTGTATCTATTGCAGAACAGCACTCTCTCTGAAGAGTGTATTATCCTAACCTTCTTCATCTATTGTATCTTAGTGCTAGCTAATTTTTAGTGCTCTAGAGAAGTCTCTGCAATGGCTACTTAATTGGTTGGGTGGTCACTTTATCTATGCAGCAGTGTATGTTTCTGTTTGATCAATAGACCATCTAGTCCCACAAATACAACAGCATATTTAAACCAACTGATTAATAAGCACTAACCACCGAATTTATTAAAAATTGCTTACACAGTCCTTAACCAGTAACATCAGATGCTTCAGTGTTTACTCGCTCACATGCTACAACCCTAGCTTTAATCATTTCCCATTCTGATGACCATTCCAATGAGAAGGTGGAGAGCTGACCACCCATAATTGCAAAATAACACAGGAAGTGCATCTCCGCCCAGAGAGAGATTACTGTCTAAGCCAATGCTGTCTACCTTCTGGAGAAGAAACAGCTTAAGTGTTAGCTCCACAGTTACATTATATGACATCAACGCTTATTAAACCATGGAATATGATCTGTGTACACAGTTATATTGCAACTCCTTCCTCACCATACTCATGCTGTCTTCCGTTCTTAAGCCCATTCTGACAGGCACTGGATAGCTTTTACGTGGAATTTCACTTCTCCTGTTGCATAGGTGAAACTTGCAGCCAGCTTCCACAGTACATCCATTCCCAGAATTTATAAGAAAAAAACCTAGGTTGGTAACAACTACTTTTGTCCTGTGGCTCGTGTCACCTAGATAGTTGAAGACATACTTCTACACTCACATCTAGCCTATTGCCACTCCTCATGATAAAGCCAGTGCTATCTAACTGAAGAGGTCACTCCACTCAGATTACCTGATAAGTGGTGATGTCTACCAGAACTCTGACCACTCCTGCATTAGCTAAGAGCTTCGTATAAGGTCCACCTAGCTCTGCAGTGCAGTTTGCTGCAACTTTCCAAGTCAGTCACCAATCCTTACTCAAATTAAATGGGTGACACATATTGTCAAGTTAATACTTGTTGGATCTGTGAACTTTGATGAAACCTACTGAAGTGAGCATCAACTAACTATACGTCATGGTGGTGTACCACAAAATATAGAAACAAGAGACTGGTTATTCTTCAAATTTTCTGATTTTGAATGAGAAATACAGATTCTAATGGATCTGGCATATAACCTTCTACTTAGTGCAGATGTATTACAATGTCTATGGTATAGCTGCATTCTGCAGCAGTTGATGCACATCATCAGTTGGATAAGATGGTTATATGTCAAAAGAACATTATGATAAAACAGTAGTGAAATGAAAGGTCAAGCCTGATGATTGGGTATGGCATATGTCTCAAATGCATAAGCAACTCAGTTGTGGCTGGATTAGAGAACCAGGGAACTATAGAGGCCTTCAAGAATATTTATCATTCAAACAGTGGAGATCCATAGAAGCCAGCTGTCTTTCAGATACATACAAGTTCATTTAGCATATATTCTCACTGAATAATTTAGTTTATCCCAATTTTGTTTAGTTCTGTGCATATTTCAGTCATCCTGTGTTTTATTTTTTAGCTTCTGATGACAGTTAACTTATGCTGAACTTTATTTAGTGCCATTTGTTGAGTTCTCATTCTATTAGATTCCATTTTTTAAGTGTCACATAATTTAACCTGTCTTATTCAAATCAATACTGATTTAATTTTATATTATATGCAATAATTTTAATTCAGGCTTATTTTATCTGACATTTACTTGGAAAAGTCATTGATGTAAAAATCAAAGGATTGTGGGAAACCACACAAGGACCCTAGTCTGATTTTAGTGTGGTATTTGATTTTTCTTGCTTCTGGCTGGTTTCTTGAATCTTGTAAAAAACTAATTAATGGCTGTTGGTGCTAACGAACCCTAATTTTGAAATAACAGATTTTATGAAAGACATCTAGTAAACAGCACCTACTACCAACTATTGCCTTGTTTGACCAAATAGTGAGATTTGACCATCATCTTATACTGTACCCACAGCTTGAAATTACAGCACACAATTTCTTTTTTATGTAATGAGATATGAACAAAGGACCCACAGAACCAAACACACACAATAACCTCTGGCCCATAAAAAGAAGGCAAAATATGTGAAAAAAAGGGTTATAACATTTTTACACTAACTAAACTAAAACAAAATTAGTAGAAAAAATAGTTGCATTTTAATTGAGCAATTCCATTGATGTGTATATATTGATAAGTTGTGTGTAGCCCAGTAGTTAGAGTTCCACGCTAGTGATCTTCAGGGAAAATATTTTCAAATTAAATGTTCTAATTCTAGTAATACGGAATTTTCTCAATAACAATGAAGGAACACTCTTGAGCATATGTGTATATCTTAGTAAATCACCAGTGAATAAAGAAATCAAGCTTGCTGCTAGCAGTATTCTGAAATGGTAATTCATTCAAAAGATGCATTTAAATTTTTGATACTAGTAATACCCCACATAAAGTAACTAAAATATTATAATAATTCAATTTTAAATTTTTACTAATCTTCAAGCTTTTCAATTTTTGTTGTTTGTTTTGAATTTCGCACAAAGCTACACAAGGGCTATCTGCGCTAGCCGTCCCTAATTTAGCAGTGTAAGACCAGAGGGAAGGCAACTAGTCATCACCACCCACCGCCAACTCTTTTACCAATGAATAGTGGGATTGACCATCACATTATAATGCCCCCATGGCTGAAAGGGCAAGCATGTTTGGTGTGACGGGGATTCGAACCTGCAACCCTCAGATTGCGAGTCGAGCTCCTTAACCACCTGGCCATGCTGAGCCGTCAATTTATGTTAATTACCACTTACAAAAAACAATTACAGGTACACATATGTTGTAAGTAAAGTTAACTGATCTTACAAAGTTAGAATTATTTGTGTGCTTTAGTTTATTTATGATACTAATTGGCTTTAGCAAGTACTGAACTACTTAGGGTGGCAAAATCAATTAAAATTTTTATAATGAGTTTCAATAGAATATACTATCTCAGACTTGCTTCACATCATTTGCTGACCTGGAAACTGTGTTCATATGACAAATACAAACTCTGTAAGATATTGAACTTAAATATATAAAAAGCTTCTACTACATTCAATAATAAAAAAAACACTTAAAAAGTATTTAACACATACAGAGAAAATATGGTTTCAAAACTAGTGTCTGGAGCAAAAAAAGAAAGTTCTCCAGGAAGAATTGAGTTTCTCCCAAAGAGCTGAAAATAGTTCCAAGCCAGAATTCTTCAAGCAACTATGAATATGAAGGTTTCCAACTTCCAGAAGTATACCAGTCCAATTCTGTTGTAAGTATAGAATTGCTATCTCTCTTGTTCAAAAGAAGTTAATGCTTATACTAGAGAGAAATATCCTATATGTACTGATTAACAATGTTAACTGAAAGACAAAAGTAAACTAACATTATAGTAAATGTAACTATTGATGTTAACAGTGTATACTACGTGGAAAGACCTAATAAATGTTGTTATATTTTGTTTAATGTTAGTTTTGGAATCTGTTTATTCTAACTGTAAATTACCTCGAGTTAGCGACTTGTGACCTCCACTCGCCACTGCAATCCTCAACTCAATAAATTTGATGCGATTGGCGATATAATTGAAACTCCAACAATTAGCCCAAAGGGTTTATAGGCCCATCACAGATGAAAGCGAAGGAAATTTCAAAATTTATGAAAGACATGACATATTATTTTATTCATAAAACTATTCAACTAAAAATAACACAGATTTCTCCCACAATGATAAATCATGAGCATACATTTAAATTATTTTTTCAACAATGGTTTATTTCATAGAACCAAAGCAAAGATCAATGACAGATGACTTAAAAAATAATTTTTTTGTTATTGAGTGGTGAGCTGTAATTATATTACCTAAACTTGAATTACTTTTCATTAGATAAAGCAAAAAATACTAAATACAAACAATTCAGAATGCCCTAACCACTTGATCCCATTCAATTCATAAATACTAAGAGTGGTACAAACTTAGAAAATCTAGAATCAGCAAATAATGAATACATCATCATTTTTAGACAATTATCTCACAAGTGCTAAAAGGATCTATCTAATATTACATAAAATTTGATAATCTGCTTAATCTAAAAAATAATTGAACAACTTTTTAGTGTTATTTTGATTCTTAAACAGATTGTGCTAGAAAAACTTGAGACAATTCTTTCCATGTTGCCCTATTATTAACTAAAAACAACATTCAAAATGAACTTGAATCAGTTTCACTCCAAAAATATAAAATAATGCAAAATGTATGCTCTTCACAATAGTAATTAAAATTTCCACCTAATCACTTATATCCTCACATTTGCAATCATCAAAATATTGTTTTGCAACATTGTTATATTATTGAATAATCATGATAATGTAATTTCAAGGTTGATTTTCATTATTATTTTGTTGTGCTTAATAAATATCTCACTTATCTAATAATACACAATGGTTCATATGCTAAAACTTCTGTTGTCTTCAGTTATCCTGATGAACATTTTTAAAAAGATGAATACGAGTTAAATAATCCTAAGAGACCTATATAAAGTCCAAGATAATCCTAACTCTCAAATGAAAAATAAAAATTTTCTTTGTCACCACAATACCTGCAACTATCAACAGCTGACATCTTGTGGAAATAATATACAGGTTAATGATAACTAATCCATTAATTGTACTAATAATGATGTATTTATTAAATTTTAACCTCAAGTTATTAACAAATTTAAAATTGGCAGTGGCAGAGCTCAAGCTGGTTTTTTCTAAAGATTACTTTTTGTTTTTTTCTTGCATTTTCTGAACTTTCTCAAAGAATTCCTGCAGTGTATCATCCAAATCAGATTCTTTGTAATCTTTGATAATAATATCCTCTTCATTATGGATCCCCCGTATTAATGCTGAAAGAATTTTGCCACATGAAGGTCGGAAAAGACATAGAATGGGCTTCTTAAGAACCACAGCTCGTCCCACTTCATAACCAACACCAAGTGATGGCTGAGTCACTTCTGCTACAAGAGCTGTAAAAATTAAATTAGTAAAGTATTTTTAAAATGAAAGGAGCTTTAACTCTTTAATTATTTACTTATAATAACAGTCATTACTCAGGATTTTTAAATAAGAACTAATTCTTAATTATTTTAGACGCTGATTAAACAATAAACAATTACTTTTCCAACAGTGATTATACTTCTCTCAAACTTCTAACATAATTCATTTCTACTTATTAAGTAATATAATATGAAATAACTGCTGAAATAATCTTAGTTTAATGTGCAATATAATACACGATATTGTAGATGTACTAATACATTTAAAACAAAAATTGTTTTGTTTCAAAAAATTACTTAAAGGCATTTAGTACATTATATGTAGTTTTCCAGGATGATTTCCAAATAAACTTTTTAAAATATTTAAAAATAAAGTTTATGATGTTTCTGAACTTGCAATAAGTATTTGCCTTTTTTACAAATTGTTCCCATAATATAAAAGTGAAATGAACTTTGAATCTCTTGTACAGTCTAATATGTAACTTTTATTTCTCCAACACTTTTAAAGCAACCCCAAGTCTGTGATAGATTGAAAAAGAAACATGACATAGACTGTAAGGAAGATGCATTCTCAGTATTTTCCTTTAATTGGATGTACCATGAGAAATTAACCTAAATGATAAAGAAGGGCTAAACTGGAAGAAAAAACCAGAAGTGCAGCCTTTTGATTCCTTATTCAAAAGTACTTAAAAATACTGATAGTGTAGTTTTTTAATCTTCTTTGAGCTTTTGTTATAGTAAGATAGAAGTATGACAATGGTTTAAAGGATTATGTATAACATAAACACAACTGAAAAGCGAACATAAACAATATGGAACTGTACAGATTTGTCATTAGATGGCAGTACAGAAAAACTCCCTTAAACCTGACACTTCCAGTTTCACCCATATCATTATAATTCTATGCATGCTAAAAGTACACACACACAGAAAAATTCAAAAACATTATTTACATATTTGTAAGTTACTGCATTAAAAGTGGCACAAAGGGAAAAGATTAAAAGTAATAGGACATTAAAAGAGCTAAGGGTCGAGTTGAAAAAGTGTGAAGATAAAAGTATGAGTAAAAAATAATGACTGATTCAGAGAGTGGTAAATAATACTTTTACTGACTAAATGTAGTACAATTTTCATCTTTTTTTTAATGGTTATTGAACTTACTCTTGTAAGTTGTGAATATTTATTAAATACTAGAAATACTATAATATCTGGTTTTAAAGAATTGATAATAAAAATTTACAAACAGAATTATATTGTTTATCTGTGTGTTTGTGTGACATTAATATAATTTGTTAAAGCTGGTTTGGAAATATAGCTTCATTGTTATTCTATTAC